GGGGCGGGGGGGAGGCGATGACGGCCGAGTTGTCCAGGCAGGCCCGGCGGGCGGCGGGGAAGGTCAGGGCGTAGCGACGGCCCGCGGGGCGGTAGTGGAAGACGACGCCTGGAAGGGCAGAGGGTGGGCAGGGAGGGTGGCACGGGGCTGGCACGGCTCGTGCAGGGCACACAACTCGCACGAGGTGCACACGGGGTACACAGCTCACGTGGGGTGCAGGGCTCGCAGAGGGTGCATGAAGTACATGGGGTGCGTGGCTTGTATGAGGTTCACGGCTTGCACGGGGCACATGGGGTGTACAGCTTACACGGGGCACATGGCTCGCACGAGGTGCACATGGGGTACACAGCTCATGTGGGGTGCACAGCTCACGTGGGGTACAGAGGGTGCATGAAGTACATGGAGTGCGTGGCTTGTATGAGGTGCAGGGCTTGCATGAGGTGCGTGGGGTGCACGGCTCACGTGGGGTGCACGGCTTGCATGGGGTGCATGGAAGCACTTGGGGTGCACGGCTTGCATGGGGCACATGGGTTGTGCAGCTTACAAAGGGGCATGGCTTGTAGGAGGTGCATGGCTCACACGGGGCACACGAGGTGCACGACTTCATGGGGTGCATGGGGTACGTAGGGCGCACAGCTTGCACGGGGTGCATGGAATACACGGGGTGCACAGCTTGTAGGAGGTGCATGGCTTGCACGAGGCACACAGCTTATATGAGGTGCAAGGCTTGCACGGCTTGTACAGAGTGCATGGCTACCCATGACACCCCCACAGCTCTCCCAGCAATGCCACCCCACCACGGAACCCGTGATGCTCCCACAGCTCTCCTGGCAATGCCACCCCACCACGGTACCCGTGACACCCCCATAACTCTCCCGGCAATGCCACCCCACCATGGTACCTGTGACACCCCCACAGCTCTCCTGGCAAGGCCACCCCACCATGGTACCCATGACACTCCCACAGCTCCTCCAGCAATGCCACCCCACCACAGTACCCGTGACACCCCCACAGCTCTCCCGGCAATGCCACCCCACCATGCTACCCGTGACACCCCCATAACTCTCCCGGCAATGCCACCCCACTGTGGTACCCATGATGCTCCCACAGCTCTCCTGGCAATGCCACCCCACCACGGTACCCGTGACACCCCCATAACTCTCCCGGCAATGCCACCCCACCATGGTACCCATGATGCTCCCACAGCTCTCCTGGCAATGCCACCCCACCACGGTACCCATGACACCCCCACAGCTCTCCTGGCAATGCCACCCCACCACAGGGCACCCAGCTCACCCGTCACCTCCAGGGGCAGCAGGTCCTGCTCATCGTCGATGCCGGCCACCACCTCGCAGCGGTAGAGCCCCGCGTCGCTGGCACGGGCGGCGCGCAGCACCAGCGTGGCGTTGTAGCGGTCGCGGGGGTAGCCCGGCAGGGCCACCCGGCCCTCGTAGGCCTTCACCACCTTCACCGCGTTGTCCTTGGCCACCAGGATGGGCACGTCCTCCCTCTGCCCGGTGGCCGAGCGCACTTTGCTCCATTTGACCCGGGGGGGGTCGGGGGGCTCGTTAGGCCCCAACGAGGCGGAGGGATGGAGGAGGAAGAGGCAGGGGAGGGCCACGGGCTCCCCCAGCCCCACGCGCACGGCCCGGTGCTGCACCCTGTTGATGTGGATCACCTTCCCATCGTCCTGGGAGCCTGCGGGGGGGAGAGGCGCCCAGATACCACGGGGATGGGCAGCAGGAGCTCCTGCAGGGCTCTTACTCATAGCAGGGAGAATTGGGGGCACTGAAGGGATTTGGGGGAACCCCTGAGCCCCCCCCAAGGAAGAACATGAAGCGGGACGATGTGCAGCCTCCCCGTCCAGTGGCTGGAGATCAGCTTTGCAATGAAATCTGCCCCTCCAGGGCTGAACCCCCCGACTCGGCCAAGTCCCCGTGTCCCCCCGTCCCCCCCACAGGATGCTGCCAGGATGTAGCCTCTGCTCTGCACCCGTGGGTCGCACACGGGGGTATCAGTGCTCCCCATCCCTGCCCGCAGAGGTGGGCACCTCACCAGCAACTCGGTGCCACCCACCCCCTGGTGCACCAGCAGGAAAGCCAGGATAAAGCGTGGCAGCTGTAGGGCGCACAGCTTGCACGGGGTGTGTGGAATACATGGGGTGCACGGCTTGTAGGAGGCGCAGGGCTTGCACGAGGCACACAGTGCACAGCTTATATGAGGTGCAAGGCTTGCACGCCCGTAGTGGGGTGGGGGGGACACTCCCCGCAGAGCCCAGCCATATGGGGCCAGGGGGTGGCCACTAATCCCCCACTGCCACCATCCTCCCCCCCACGGCTTGTACAGAGTGCACGGCTCACATGGAGTATACAGGGTGCGTGCACGGCTTGCACGGGGTGTGTGGAATACTTGGGGTGCACGGTTTGTATGAGGTGCAGGGCTTGTGTGGGGTGCAGGGCAAACATGGGGTGCACGACTTGCACGGGGTGCATGAAGTACATGGGGTGCACGGCTTGCACGAGGCACAGGGCTCGCATGGGGAACACGGGGTGCACGGCTTGTACAGAGTGCATGGGGTGCACGGCTTACACAGGGCACATGGGGTGCATGGGTTCCACCACCTGCATGGGAGGCACAACCCACGCAGGCACCCATGCCACCCCACCACGGTACCCATGACACCCCCACAGCTCTCCCAGCAATGCCACCCCACCATGCGACCCATGACACCCCCATAACTCTCCTGGCAATGCCACCTCACTGTGGTACCCATGACACCCCCATAACTCTCCCAGCAATGCCACCCCACCGTGGTACCCATGACACCCCCATAACTCTCCTGGCAATGCCACCCCACCGTGGTACCCATGACATCCCCATAACTCTCCTGGCAATGCCACCCCACCGTGGCCATGGGGCCATTAATCACCGCGAGGCTGCACTGACACCAAGCCCCGGGAGCCGTGGGGGGAGCAGGATGAGCCCCACGATGCTGGTGTGGGGCAGGGATGGAGGACACGGTGCCACCCCCCAACCCACCCCACCGCGGCGTCCCTCCATGTCCCTCGATGGTACCCGTGACACCCCCACAGCTCTCTTGGCAATGCCACCCCACAGTGGTACCCATGACACCCCCATAACTCTCCCAGCAATGCCACCCCATCCCCAACCCCGCCGTGGCCACAGCAGCAGCTCTGGAGCCAGCCCTCCCTCTGCCCCCAACATTAACATGCAGCGGAGGCCACCGGCTGCCGGAGCCGGCGCGCGGCGCGTGGAGCACAAAGCCGGCACCGCCGAAAAGCTCCCATCCATCTGTTTGACTGCAGCCCACCATTAGGGCTTTCTAAATCATTTGGTCTCCAGGCTCGGAGGGGAGTCGGACACACCGCCTGGATCCCACCACAACCATCGCCCCGATCCCACCACAACCATCGCCCCGATCCCACCACAACCATCGCCCCGATCCCACCACAACCATCGCCCCGATCCCACCACAACCATCGCCCCGATCCCACCACAACCATCGCCCCGATCCCACCACAACCATCGCCCCGATCCCACCACAACCATCGCCCCGATCCCACCACAACCATCGCCCCGATCCCACCACAACCATCGCCCCGATCCCACCACAACCATCGCCCCGATCCCACCACAACCATCGCCCCGATCCCACCACAACCATCGCCCCGATCCCACCACAACCATCGCCCCGATCCCACCACAACCATCGCCCCGATCCCACCACAACCATCGCCCCGATCCCACCACAACCATCGCCCCGATCCCACCACAACCATCGCCCCGATCCCACCACAACCATCGCCCCGATCCCACCACAACCATCGCCCCGATCCCACCACAACCATCGCCCCGATCCCACCACAACCATCGCCCCGATCCCACCACAACCATCGCCCCGATCCCACCACAACCATCGCCCCGATCCCACCACAACCATCACCCCCATCCCACCGCAACCATCGCCCCCAATCCCACCACAACCATCTCCCCAATCCCACCTCAACCATCACCCCCATCCCACCGCAACCATCATCCTGATCCCACCACAACCATCGCTCTGATCCCACCACAACCATCGCCCCGATCCCACCACAACCATCACCCCAATCCCAGCCCTTACCAACCCCACTCGGGCTTTGTTTGGGATTTTAACCAGGCTCCAGCACCCCCTTCTGCCAAACCATCCCAGCAGGGATCCAACCGGCACCCCCAAATCCCAGAGTGGGGCCACGCTGGTCCCAGCACCACGTGGCAACGAGCTCAAACCAAACCCAGGGTCCCCAAATCCAGCAAGGGGTTTGCTGCTCCCCCCCACTGGTCCCCCCCCAGCCAGGACAGCCAGCTGGGGAGCACCCAGCTTTTGGGGGACACCAGGAGCCCCTCGTCCCTCTCCTTGTTGCCCGGAGCGGGAGTACCCAGCTTTTGGGGGACACCAGGAGCCCCTCGTCCCTCTCCTTGTTGCCCGGAGCCAAGGCTTCTGCTCAGCCCCCAGGTTCCCCCCATCCCCGATGCTCCATTTTTTCCAGCCCTTGATTTCTCATTCTCTGTCCCTTCCGCTTTTATGGGACAAAAATAGCAAGAAAGAGCAAAATGGCGAGAAAAAAAGGAGACCCCCTGTGTTCAGTGCTGGAAAAGGGCCTTTTGGGGGGGTGCAAAACTGGGTTTTATCTTATCTTTTCTAAAGAAGAAAGTGTTTGCAGCTCTGTGGGGCTTTCTGCCTCCAAACCCAGCTGCCGATGGAAGATTTGGAGGTGACCTGACCCCCAGCTCCGGCCACAGAGGGAAATTCTTGGGGCTCACAGGGACCTTCACCCCACTGCGTCCCCCCAGGAGCCAAACAGCCCCCGGGGGCTGCTCCGTGGCACCCACAGCACAACAGCAGCTCCTTCTTCCCTGCTCAGAGATGCTCCAGGAAGGAATTTCCCCAGGATGGCCACCCCAGCAGCACCAAACTTTTCCCAGAAGTGTTTGCAGCTCTGTGGGGCTTTCTGCCTCCAAACCCAGCTGCCGATGGAAGATTTGGAGGTGACCTGACCCCCAGCTCCGGCCACAGAGGGAAATTCTTGGGGCTCACAGGGACCTTCACCCCACTGCGTCCCCCCAGGAGCCAAACAGCCCCCGGGGGCTGCTCCGTGGCACCCACAGCACGACAGCAGCTCCTTCTTCCCTGCTCAGAGATGCTCCAGGAAGGAATTTCCCCAGGATGGCCACCCCAGCAGCACCAAACTTTTCCCAGTCTTCCCACTATGGGGTTGGGGGGGAATAAAATTAATAGCTTGGAAGGATCATGCTGGGGAGGTTCCAGCTCCTCCCCATTGAAATGGTAATTGTGACTTTCTGGGGTGCCAGGAGCTCACCCAGTACAAACCATCATTGCCGGGGTGTGGGATGGGGTGGCTCTGGGGCGTGGGATGGGGTGTCCTTCGCCCACCCACCAACCCAGGACCTGCTGGGCCAGGCTGGGGTGGTGGGTGCGGGATGGGGACACCCAGGACACCCAGCAGTGGGGAAAAAGGGTGCCCTGGGCCACGCTCGCACACGTCTCGGAGCCTCACATCATCCACCCACCCCTTTTTTGGGGGGCTTTCCACCCATTTTCTTTCTCGCATCCCTCGACGCTCCCCCCCTGAAGCTTCCAGGAGACTTTTTCCCCATCGAAGGGCAAACCAGACAATTTCCCACTCGGGAAAGCAGCTCCCCGACACCTCCCTGAGACCTTCCCCTTCTCCATCCTCCTCCTCACCAGCTCCCAGCGTGGCAGCCCCCCATTCCCAGCCACAACCCAGGGCCACCAGCCCCAAACCCTGGGGGTTCTGGCCCCACGGGCTGCCACGTCGGGGCAGTGGGAGGGAGAGGGATCCAAGAGACCCCCATAAATGTGTCGGGGTATAAATACTCCTCTAAGCTCTCGGCTGTTTACCCAGAGCTGCTCTTCTGGAGCCGGGTCCTCGCTGAGCAAACGCCGCTGGGTAAACATTGAAATGTTAAACACAGAAGTCGCTCTTTGGATTTGCAACCCCCAACCCAACGCAGCTCCACCGTGCCAGGGCCGGATGGATGGGACCACGGTCCCCAACCCCGGCTTGGGGACACCCCAGGGTGATGGGACACCCCAGGGTGATGGGACACCTGGGTAACGGGTGGTACTGGTGGTGCGGGGGGGCCTGGGGGCCACAGGGCTGCGTGGCTGCGGCCGTCGCCTTCCCTGACATCAGCATTTCTGCAGGTTTTGCTTCGGCAGCAGTAAGAAGGTGCCGCGGTGGGAAGGGCTGTGTCACCCCCCCCAGCCCCCCAGCAGCACCCACTGCCTCCTCGGGGAGGACTGGGGGGATTTGGGGGGGGACAGGACACACAGTCCCACCCTGCTGCTCCCTTGGGGCCACCCGCATGGCATCCATGACCTCAAAGCATCCCGGGACCACATCCCCCATGGCACAGGGGGACAAGGGGACAAAAGAAGGTCCCCTCCACGCTCTTCTCCCCCCAGCCCCTCACCAGACCCCCCACTGCCCCCGCCGAGCCCGGCCCTGCACTGAGCCAGCAAAAAAGTTTATCCCAAGGTCAGGGCAAGCGGCACCCTCCATCCCTGCCAGCGACAGAGCTGCCACATGCGGTGTCCCCCGACGTGAGGACCCCATTGCCACACTGGGGGCTGCCAAAGTCAGCATCCTCCCAGCCTTGGCATCTTCTTAATTATTGAGACCGTCTCCCTCCCACCTCTTCTTGATCCACTAACCCACAATCTAGCTCTGGCAGTGCCAACGAGGCAGCCCCGGGGCTGGCACGGCCGAGACCCGACCCCTTGGCATCACCGGGATCAGCCCCGACCGGACCCTGGCTCCCCAGGGAAAACACTGCTCAGCACCCCCAGCCTCTGTGCCAAGGTGGGGGGGTCCCTTGGGGGTAGGATCCTGCCCGGGGGTCCCCATGGAAGTGGTTGAGGGCTCAGCCACGCCGGGCATCACCGTGCCATCCCCAGCCGTGCCACCTCCAGCCCAAAAGGGGCTGAATTTCACATGGTGGTGGTGGGGGGTCTCTCTCCTCCACAGTCAGGGCGATGCCAACGTGGGGGGGCTCAGGGCACAGCGATGTCCCCCCTGTGCCACGCTGCCAGGCCCCCTCTGGGGACAAGGAGAGTGTCCCCGTCCCCCCCCGGACCCGACCCCAACCGGGGCGGGGGGGAACGACAGACGAGAGAAATTTAAAATAACGGCGGTGCAAAGCCGCCCCCCCCAACCCCGGGCGAACATTTTCACATCTGTCACTAGCTGTCACCTCATGAATAATTCATCCGCCTCATGAATATGCAAAGCCGGGGCTGGTGATTAGCTTCAGCTGAAACATAGCCTAATTCCTCCCAGGCCGGTGGGTGCCGGGACGCCCCGGCTGGTTTTTTTTGGGGGGGGGGATCTCCTCTCACCCCCAACCTCCCGTGGGCTGGGACGGGGGTGGCCGTGGACCCCAGGGTCCCCACGGAGCAGAGGGGACATTTGGGACACTGCGGGGGGGGGGACACAGGCTTGGGATGGGTGG